GGCTTGGCCTGGGCCCCCAGCACGTCTGCGATGGCCCCGCTCCCCACGGGAGCGGCAAGAGGCCTCGAGGACTGTGTGCCATCATGGTGCCACCGTCACCTGCTCGTTGCACCCCCAGACATTCCCCTGGGCATTCCCAAGGTTTCCCCTCCAAAGATTCTTCCTCATGACCCAGCTCTGCATACTGTGGGGAATCAGGGGTTTTCCCAGTACTCTCTGTTTCCCAGCTTGCACATTGTTGTGGTCCCCAGCCACAGCTGGAAGAGGAGCCGCTTCCCCATGTGTGGGGAAAAGCTGCCGTTCCCTGTGTGCCCCAGTGCCCAGGCCAGACCCGGTACCCATGCGGCCATGGGTCCAGCTGCTGAGGAAGTGGGGGCAGGAACACCGGGAACTGGCTCAAAGGATGGAAGCAAGGCAGAGAAGTTGAGAGTTACTTTTGTGCAAGAGGGGAAAAGGCCATGGGGAAATGAGAGTGCCTCACACTTCCCTCTTGGTCGTATATCTGGACATGCATGGAAATTTGTCCCCCTCGCACTGGCAGTGGGAACAGCTCCCACAGAAATCCCCCGGGGACCTTCTCTCTGCTTTTAGCAATCTGTGCGGAGCTGCGCTGCTGCATCCAGCTTCAGCACTGCTGCTGCGCCCGTGCCCTCGAGGCTCTTTGCACATGCACAGCTGGGAATGTGCACATGCACAGCACTCAGTTTGAGGCACGAGGAGAAGCAGGGTGCTGCAGGAGCCAGCAATAAATGCCCTCCCTGTGTTGAGCTCCGAGCAAATCCCAGGAATGTGGGAGCCCCCGGCGCCAGAGGGATGTTCCATCCGTGCTGTGGGTCGCGAAGGCAGAGCGTGCCGGCACAGCCACGCTTCATCCAAGGGGCGTCTGGCCGTGGCAAGAGGAGCGCAGGAAGCGGCAGCGCTGACATCAGCAGCGCAGGGCAAGGACGCTCGGCGCTGGTGACGCAGTGTTCGCAGGAAGTTTAAAAAAAGGCTCGTGCAAAAGGCCCCCGCCCCCAAAACACGAAGAGGCAAAAACAGATAGTGGAAACGAAATGATGGATGGAGAAGTGCGCGGAGAGCCGGAAGCCAGCGCGAATCTCTGCATAAACCGTTCCTCTCCGGAGCCCGCTCCCCCCGCGCCGCCGCGTGCGGAGCAGTGGTCCTGGTGACGCAGGGAGCATAGTTTTGAGGCGAGTAATGTTGTATCAGACACAACACAAGGGAACTCTGCAGTGCAAGAGCAAGCGCTCTCCTCGCAGGGGTGATTCATGTTTTCATCTGAAATAGGGCTACCCAGCTGGATTTCCATTGATGCTTTCAGTGGGACTCGCCAGCTGCCATGAACTAAAATGACTTCTGGAAAAGCTCTGGTGGCCTGGAAAAAGTCATAAGTCTTTCCTTTTTTATTTTTGTTCCCATTCTGACATAGAAAATATTCCCCCAACAAAAAACAATCAAATATGCTCCAGCATTCCCCGCAGGCTGTTCTGCCCTCTCTCCTGCACCATGAGCCTGTGTCGGCTGCCTGAGCTGGGAGCTCCTTGTGCCCCGGGCACCCGGTGAGGTCGGCTGCAGGCCCTTCAGCGCAGGCTGCCGGCTGGGACACCTGCTTGGAAAATCTAGTCCTTAGCTTATTGGGAAGCTGGAGGTGGGCTGCCTTGGGTTTTGCAGTAGTGAGAGCGTTCTTTCACATGCATGTGGCACGGGTCCACTGCCCTTTCTTGGGGAGAAGCCCATATGGGAGCATGGAAAGCGCAGTTTTTCCCTAGGGAAGGACACACGGGTGGATGCACCCAATAAATAACAGTCTCCTTGACGTATTTACAAATTAAATAGAATAAATAAAGTGTCTATGCACAGCGGGCCAGCCCCTTGCAGTTTCCCTGAGCAGGGCTGGTGATGGGGGGCTCCGCAGGGCCAGGAAAGTCCCGAGTGATTTCAGGCGAGCTTCCGTATCCGTGTTGTGAAAGGCTTCGCTGCAGTCGCGTCAGGCTGATGAGCCCATGCTGTGACCGGGAAGGGGAAGTAGGATGGGGAAGCGCATCCCAGGCAGGCATTCCAAAGTCCCCACGGGTGCAGTCACATTTGGGGATGGCTGTAGCTTATTGGGGTGGCCGCTGCACAGGGGCAGCTGCCGGCAGAGGTAGTTGGGGACGCGTGGGGATGGTGGGCGCCTAGAGGCGGCTGTCCTTGCTGCCTGCCTGTAGCACACCCAGCGGGTTCAGCTGCAGTGACAGCCACGTGTTGGTGCTGAGGCTGGAGATGAGCGGCAGCGACCCCAGCGAGGGGCTGCTGGAGATGCCCAGCTCCAAAGATGCTTTTAGAAGCTCGGGGCCACCGATGGAGCCCCCGCAGCTGGCCACATCTGGTGCTAGGGGCCCCAGCTCGCTGGGAAAGCCCCAGGCAGGGGGCTGCCATGAGGAGCCGGGTGCTCTGAGGTCCTGTGTGTGACCATGGGGACCAGCAGGAGGGCTCTGCTTCATGTAGCCCTTGGCCACGGGCAGCTCAGCACAGGCCATGTCCTGCACGACATCCGTGCCGTGCACAGGCCCCGTGTGTCCCCACAGGGGTGGCTCCTTGCCTCTGTCCCACGTGGGCTCCACAGTGCCCTTGCACTGCTGCAGGTAGCCCCGAAACTGCACCTCCTGGGGCCCGTCCTCGCCTGTGGTGGCAGCAGGAGGGCCATGCTCCGCCGGTTGCGGACGTGTTTCCTTCGCAGTCTGGTAGCGCTCCAGGCAGGGAGAGGCTCTCTCCATGCTGATGCCGCTGTCCTCGCTGCCGGGTGGCTGCACCCCGGCGCGCTGGCAGGCCATGCCCAGCTTCGGGGAGGAGTTGTGCAGGCAAATGCCGCTGTCGGTGCTGCTGCCGCTGCAGTCCCCACCGCTCGCGGTGCTGGGGCCCAGCAGGCGAGCCCGGTGCTCGGGCCGTGCCACCAGCGCGCAGGCCTGCTCTGGCATCTGCTGGAGCACCGTGATGGAGGTGCCGGGCTGCTGGGGTGCCTTCTGGCAGAGGAATAGTTGCTGGACTGGGTCCGGCTCTGACCGTGTCGACGGGGAGTACTCCTGCTCCACCCAGAGCGAGCCCTGCTTCAGGAAGGACTTCTGGCAGGGGCAGAGGAAACCATGGGGTGAGATTCTGGCATCCCTGCTCTGTGGCCGGCTCCCCACTGGCCACCCCCAGCTCCAAAGAAGCACCCATCCCCACAGCGCTTATACACCGAAAACCAGAAGTGCCAGCTTCTCTGGCTCCTTACCAGCACAGATGGTGGCCTCACGGGCTTCTTTATGTACATGCAGACCAGCAGCATCCCCAGCAGAAGCAGCAGCAGCATGGTGATGAAGATGATGCTCACGATGCTGAGGAGGAGCTCAGCGCTCTCTGCAAGACACATGTGCCCAGGCGAGGTGAGCCGTGCGAAGCGCCCATGGCAGACAGCACCCTGCACGGCACCCCGCGCCCCGCTCACCGTCCCGGCGGCCGATCGTGACGCACTGCTCAGCGGTGCGCATGGTGTGGACCGGCCGGCTCGCCACATCGGGCTCCACGCTCACGCAGTACTCGGTGTCCCAGAAGAGGTTGCTGATGTTGAACTCTGGCTGGGTCTCCAGCACTTCGTACTGCAAGCAGCAGAGAGCAGGTTGCTGCCCTGGCGCCCTTTGAACAGTGTGCCCTCCAGACTAGGAGTGCCCCCCGTATCCCCCATCCCCAGAGCACCCACGGGGACCAGGGACGTGTCTCTCACCATCCGGTTGTCCTGCGCCTGCCTGACGTACACCTTGTAGCGCCGCGCGTGCCTCTGGATGTCCTCGTATCTGACGGTGCTGTTGCCGGCTTTGAGCAGCAGCTGCAGCTTCACGACGATGGTGTTGCCTGTCACGGAGAGGCTCTGCCCCGGGCTCCGGCTGCGCACAGCCGCGTTGCAGAGCACGTTAGGTCTCAGCTTTGGCAGGGCCTGGCGGAGCGCTGCACACCCACCGTGGCCCCCCTGCCTACCTTCCTTCGGGGAGAAGGAGCTGGTCCTCTTCCATGGGGACGTGCGGTTTCCAGACACGGCTCGCACCTGGGCATAGTAGCGCTGCTCCGGGTCCAGCGTGTAGAAGGTGAGGTCGCATGAGTGCCCCAAGATCCTGGTGCAGCTCGGGACAGCTGTCCAGGAGAATCCTGGGCCGTACCTGTGGGAGAGGCGGTGGCATGAGAGCGGTGCCTGCGGCGCCGTGGCCAGTGGGTGCGGGGGAGGGGCGGGGGAGCCACGTGGCTACTCACACGCCGTGCTCCACGTCGTAGCGCACGTCACGGGGGGAGTCAGGCCCCGGCTCCCAGCGCAGGAGGGGATGCGCGATGTTGGCAGCAAAGCGCACGTGCGCCGGCCCTGGCAGCTGCTCACCTGTGGGAGCAAGGACGCGTGTCAGGACATGGTCACCCGTGGGCACCAGGGCCGGCTACCACAGCAGGTGCTCCCTGGAGAGTCCCTGCCACCCACTCAGTGTCCCACGCTTCAACCCCGTGTGTCCGGCTGCGAATGCCCGCTCGCCCAGGGGCTGCCATCCTGCTGCATCCCTCTCCCTTTGCTCCTCAGAGGAGAGCGCAGCCAGGGCATTTTATACTCATCTTGACACACTCTCCAGCTCGCCCTTGCCTTGGCTGGGTAGGTGCAGGACAGTGACCAGGCGCCACACCAGGCGGGGATGGTGTGGCCTCAGCCTGCCACATCCCAAAGGCACCCAGGCAGGTGTCACCCTGCCACCCCCAGGCTAGCGGAGGTGCCGGACTCCCCACCAGCCTCCTGCCTTCCTGTTTTGCTCTGCTGATGGCTGGAAGAAACCAACCTCTTCACACCTCCTGCCTCAGTTTCAGTGTTGTCACCTGGCAGCAAAGCTCTGCCAGATAACAGCTGCCTCCCGTGCAGCGCTCGCTTCCTCAGCCACTGCCTGTGCCGCCAAACGCTCCCCCGCGCTCCGGAGCGCCCGTCTGAGCCCTCACCCTGGCAGGACGGCACACTCCCACAGCCCGGTGCCTGGGACACGGAGCACCACGGTACAAAGCACACGGCAAGCAAGGCTGGGGACAGCGATGGGCAAGGGCGAAGGGTGGCCGCCTCGCAGAGCCCAGCATCTTCTCCAGCAGCCCCAGCACAGGACCCCAGCCCGTGCCCCTGACCCGAGCGGCGGGATCTCCCCTGCGCAACCGCTCCTGTCCCCAGCTGCCCGCAGGGCTCCCCACAGCGGGCTACTCACCGGCGGCGTGCAGGGCGAGGAGCAGCGCGAGGCGCAGCGCCAGGGCTGCCGTGCCGCTGGCCATGCTGCCTCCGCATCCTCCGCGCGCGCCTGGCCGGGACAGCGGTGCCGAGCTCTGCCGCGGTGCGCGCCCCAGCCCTTGTTTTTCCCCTGGAGGCTGGCTCAGTGACGTGTCGAGAGGCGTCCGTGCGGCAACCGAAACGGGGCTGAGCAGTGACTTCCACTTTTCTTCACTGTCCTCCCACTCAACCACAGCTAATCTCTTGCTTTGGTTGGGCATTTCCTGCCATCAGTCCGAAACCAGGACCTTGGGGTATTTCTCAGCAAAATGCTATCCAGCTGGAGAGGGAAAATAGAAGTAAATCATGTGTTGCTCTTCCCCGGCCCCCCAGCACGGGGACAGCTGGTGGCACGCAGCAGTTCTAGGGGGCTCGCAAGACCGCAGCAGCAGCAGCAGCTGGGGCCAGGTGGCTTGGAGGGTCTTGCCAGATCCCACCAGCACCTTGCCTGGGCTCCCCCAGCTGAGAGGGCTTTCCTGGGGCCTGTGCAGAGCACTGGGGCTCTCCTGCGATGACGGGGGATTTCTGCTTTGTTCAGAGGAGAGGGATTTCCCATGGGGGAGCCAGTGGAAAGGATGGGGACAGAAAGCACAAGAGGAATTGAGAACACTCTGGACAGCCTCGGAGAGCTTGGAGCTGGTCCCTTGTTTGCAGGGGGCTCCTTGAGGAGCTGCTGCAGAAGCCTGAAGTGGAGGCTGGCTCTGTCCCTGAGGCTGAGTGGCATCTGCCTCTGAGTCACCCTTCTTGCAAGAGCCTCTGTGGCCAGAGCAGCAGCCAACTTGCCCTGGAAGCCGTTGTCTCTGCACTGGAGAGGACAGCGCAGACAGCAGGGCCCTCACTGCCGTCCCTGTTGTGGACTGACTGCCCTTGCTTGCAAAGCAGCTGATGTCCTGCTGCTGTGCTGCCACCTCCTGAGTCACTCTGGGTCGTCACTGGATACAGGGGGTCCCAAATGAAGCACCTCCATCCCTCGCAAGCCATGGCTTCTGTTTCAGGCATGCAAATGAGAAATGAGAGCAGGAGGGTCAAAAATGAGGAAGCAGGGAGCACTGGTGGGTGCCAGGGGGACCATGGACAGTCCCATGGGCTCACAGGCTCGGGAGAAAGGACTCTCAGTTAGGGTAAAATGAACAGGCTGAGGAGAAATGGCCAAGCTGCTGGGGGGATAGCTGGGGCATGGTGTTGGGTGGCCAGGCTGCCCCGGGCTCATGTGGCTCCCACATTGCTGCCCCTCTGGCCTTCCCGAGGTTTCCCCACATCCTCTGGGAAGTGCTGCTTGGGATCCTGAGCTCCCAGCTTTGCCGCCAGCTCTGTGGGCAGCCCCGACCTGGTTCACATGCTGACAGGAGGGACGGGACCCGGCTGCAGCCTGAGCTGGCCCTGTTTTCAGTGTGAGGAGGAGAGGTTTTGAGTTCAGGGGTCAAACTGGTGCTCAAGAATGCTACCTCCTTTCATCCTCAAATTCACTGACTAATCCCGGGGTAGGAATAGCCACCTTTTTAATAATCTGGAAATCACCTGAGTCAGAATGGCACCCTGTGTCTTTCTGCAGAACCTCAGCAGCAAGGTAGCAACGGTGCACGGGAGCAGCTCGGCCGCATCCTGCCCGTGCATCCCACGAGCAGGCTCAGGGGACAGGGAGCACCCACGGCAGAACCTCCAGCACACCCGCATCTGGGGACAGGCCTCGAGAGCAAAACGAGTCTGCGGCTTGTGTCGCACACCTGCCTCTCCGCCGCTCCGGTGCGCTGCCCACATCCTGCAGCCGGTGCTGCCTGTGGCCAGCGCTGAGGTTGTCGCAGCCTCGCTGCACCGGCACCGCGGCACGGGCGCACGGAGAGGAGCCAGCAGGGCTGCCGCATCCTCAGTGCCAGCAGCGGGCACCAAGGCCTGCAAGGCAGCACGGCCACCGCTAAACTCCCTTCCCCAGCTGTGCATCATTAACCCCTTTGCAGCTAGCTGGGCTGCACAGGGGCTTCCCAACAAGAAGGTGCAAGGTTTTCACCAAGGAAGTGCCAAGCACCCGTGACCTTTAAGGCCAGGTAGCTCACGTCAGGCCCAGACAAACGGTTCTCTTGGTTTCTGTAGGTGTCTTTTCAGAAACAACAGCAAGAAATCATTCCTGGAGTTGCTGCCTGCAGCTGCATCAAAGAGTCACTCTGTATTGAGGATGTGTCAGCCCACAGCATCTCCCTCCAGCCTTGCACCCCGAAGGACAGAGCGCTCCAAGGCACAGAGACACTGCAAAAGCAAATGAAATGTAGTTGCCCACAAAGCTGTTTTTGAGCTAGTGTTGGTCAATAGCACATTCCTGTCCAGTTCTCTTGCAGACCAAGAGTTCTCTCAAAGCCAGAGCTGGAAGCGAAGGACTCCAAAGCAGCAGCCTGCAAGAAGCATGTGCCCTGCCAGCCGGCTTGTGCGCTGGAGAAGGGCCCAGGGCCTGTGGCAGAACCAGGAATGGCCACAAACCACCAGTGTGCCAAGGCTGCGTAGACGCCACGAGTACTGCTTGGAGGCACGGGGAGCTGTGGGAGACGCTGCGCAGCCTCGGGAGCTCCCCGAGGGATAGCAGCTGCTGTTTTAAGGTGGGAAAGAGGGGCTGAAACTGGAGGAGGTGCTGAGAGGAGCCGGGAAGGGCGCAGGAAGGTGAAGAGCCTGTTTTACAGGGAGTCACTAGAATAGACGGGCTCTGCGGGGCAGCGCAGTTGTTGACATTTGCAGACGCAGGGGGAAGATGAGGGCAGGGGGAAGAGCTGCTTAAATCTGACAGTGGTCTTGGCAAAGCGAAACAAGGATAAGCAACATGACAGGGATCAGGACAGGCAGGATCCACCCAGGGCCCTGAATCCCCAGCAGGGCTTTGAGAAGGTTTCCTTGAAGCTTGGGTAGTCTTGCTTTCCTCCTGCCCTTCTTAGGTGCATGCGCGGATGGGGAGCCAGATGGATCAGGGACTTGTACCAGGAATGGTGCTGGGGAAACATGCCTGGAAACAGATTGCCAGGATGGGCTTGAGGGAGGCTGCCAGGGAAGGGCTCGTGCAATGCTCTGTCACCCCTGCGGCTCCTCACCTGAGCAGAAGCAGAAAACCTTCACTTTTGCAGCAAATCACTCAGCAGTGCTGCTCTGGTATCGGCAAGCTGAGAAGCCTCTAGGGATGCAAAATAGGAAGTCGCATTTCAGGTGGAAAAAAAGGGTTTGCATTTCCCTTGAAGCAAGGAGTTTCTGGCTTCCCGCCTCCCTGGGGAGCAGAGCGGGGTGTTCCTGGGGTTGGCACCTGGGCTCTTGCCCCCTTGCAGGGCTCTGCTCCAGTGTGGAAATGCTGACCAGGGGTGCAGGTTAGCGCACGCTGGCACACGGAGGCACTGGATGGACAACCGGGAGCCTGGCGTGCCGGCGGGTGAGCTCTCAGCGCCGCCAGGCCTTCAGCACCAGCCCGCTGCCCCCAGAGGCTGTGGCTGCCCCGGGCCCGGTTGCCGCAGCCGCTGTGCTGGGGCCGGGGCACCTGTTTTGCATGCTGTGCCCGGAGCAGTTGGGAAAGAGCAGCCGCTGGAGCGGGGCAGCAGGTCAGACTGGTTTCCCTCTGCGCTCTGCGCTGGCACTGACGTAGGAGCACACTCGCCAAACAGACGCTGCCCCGTGCCGCAGCCCTGCCTGCGCCCTGCTCCACGCTCCGTGCCGCGATGGAGCTGTGACCAGACGCCCAGCCCCGGTGCGGCAGATGGAAGGGAAAACCTCTCCGGTAAGGCCCGGCGCAGCTTCTCTCTCTCAGGAATGGCTCAGGTTGTTTGGTGGCCCTTGATTACCGCCTGTCTTTGGGGTTTCATCGGGGACCCGCTTTCCCTCCTTGCTCTCTGGCGTGTTCCTGTTGCTGCCCGCTAGGACAATGACCAGGTTGAGATGCCCTTGGACTCTGGCTCTGATGCCCATTCCCGCAGAGGCAGGGGGAGCGCCGTCAGCATCTCCCCGCAGAGCTCCAGGCTCATCTGGCACAAGTCCCCTGCCCACAGGAACTGGCGGGCTGAACGTGCTGCTGGTGGGAGCTGGTGTGTGCAGGGTTGCAGGAGCAGCACCAGCTCTTCCCAGTCCTCCATGCCTTGGCACTGTCCTACCATGCCTGCATGCCCCGGTGGCAGGTCTGGCACCTTCCGATGGAGCGCAGGCTGCCCCGCGCCGTTCTCCCATGGCTGTTTACCCTGCTCTCCATGGGGAAGGAACAGGCTGCTGGGGCCCCACTGGGGCGCAGAGAGAGTCCCGTCATGGGGAAAACATCCCCGCTCGGGCACCGGGCTCAGCCCGCCTGGGCGAGGTTGCCGTAATTACCCGCGGTGCTGCCGGCTCCGCTGGGACTGCAGCCCTGTGGTTATCCAGCGGGGACGGGGTGGGCGGCGCTGGGGGTAAAGCGGGGCCGAGGGCCTCTCTCTGCCCTGCCGGGGCCTCAGAGGCAGTGGGGAGCGAGGGCAGAGAGCAGAGAGCAGGCTCCTCTTGGGTCCCAGGTCCCTGGATGAGCTGGACCACGCTCCATCCCTCGGGAAGGAGCTGCTGCCCAGGCCTGCCCAGGCCAGGAGTGCCTCCGTGCCTCCTCCAGCACCAGTTTGCAGGGCACCTGCAGCCCAGGGCAATACTACAGACCAGAAGGGGCACCTGGTGCCCGCAGGAGCCTGCCTGGAACGTGGTGCCCTCTGTACCAAGAAAATTTCCCAATATTGGGCACCCCCTTGGGCCGCTCCGGCTTTGCTGCTTGGATTAAATGGGCCATAGGAGCCCGTCCTAGGTACCTCCCTCATTTTGGTAACTGCAGGAGAGTCACCTCTTCCCGTGCCTCAGTTTACCCATGCAAGGAATGGGGTGAGCAGCGATTACTCATCCCTGGGAATATTTTGTGATCGTTGCCAGCAGGGTGCCTGCTGCTGCCATCGGGCAACCTGGTCCTGGATGGACTGGGCCAACTGAGTGGACAGGGTTTGGCAACCCCCCGGCACGATGGCCCTGTGCACTCAGGACTCCTCTGGCGCTCTGCAGCACTGGGGGACGCACAGGGGCTTCCTGCAGCCCCACAGCCTTTCCCAGACCTGCCACAGGGCAGTGAGGCCACAGCAGACCCGGCAGCGGCTCACAAGCTGGGGATGCTGTGGCATCGCGGCCGGGGGGTCTCCCTTGCCCGGGCAGGCTGCAGCACACAGCAGGGCTGAGCTGCTGCTGAGCGAGTGGAGATTGTGCAGACGGGGAGTGTTTCGTGCCCAGGAGCTGGTGCACAAAGCTGCTCTGTAGCGGCCGCATTAGCCTGAGGTGGGAAATCAGCTCCTCGGGCAGGTGACAGAGCGAGTCCACAAACACAGGGCAGCGAGCTCCCATGGGACAAGGAAGATCACCTCTGTAGGCGGTTCCCTCCAGCTGATTTAAACACAGGCTGCCTGCATTGGCTCTTGATGCTCCGACTTTTCGGGTGGCTCTCGCTTGGGTGACTCCCGAGGCTCCCCGCTCCTCCGGCTCCGAGACGCCGCTTGACCCCGGCTCGGGTTGCGACACTGGCAGGTGTTGCCTGCCTTCCGCTCTCCCTCCCACTCCGCAACTGCGGGCAATTGCTGCCTCCTCTCCCATCCCTACCTGCCATCATGCGCACATGCCTAGCCTGGCCCTGCATCGTCTTTCCCTTGGGACCTGCCCTCTGCAGGCACGGACGTGGGGAATCTCACTGGCCGCTGGAGGTCTGTATGGGAGTGCTGTGAGCTGGGTACCTGGGTGCCAGACTCCTCCGCACTTGGGCACGTTTTCCAGCTCTGCCTGCAGCCCGTAAAGCACGCTGAGGTGGCGGCTGTGCTGCAAAAGGCTATGAGAGGTCTGCTGAGCACCCAGGCACGGCGCTGATGTGAGCAGAGCTAGGCTGCAGGCGCCAAAGCCCTGCTCCCACCGTGCCGCCGTGCTGCGGGAAGGCAGGCCCGCCGGCACGGCCGGCCGAGCTCCTGGCCGTGCGGAAGCGCTCTGCTTCACTGCATGGGCTCCATGCTCGCGCCCTGACTTTCAGTACCCACGGCTGCACTTGGGTCCCTGCGGCTGTGGACGGTTTGCAGAGAGACGTCAGAAAAATGTCTTGAACCGCAGCCTCGCTCGTGGGAGAGGCCCTGCTCCGCACTTGACTTTTATTCAAAAGGCAGCAAGGCTAAGGAAATGTCTTGTGGCCACAAGTCATAGTTCAGTGCATTCGGTAACGCGCACCCCTCGACAGAAAGAGCAGCGTGGTAAGGGCTCTGCTGTTGGTTCCCCACTCCAGTGTGTGCAGCAGCAGTAACCAGCTACACCGGTTGCTGGAGAGGTAAAGTCTGTTAGGGCCACAAGTCATAGTTCAGTGCATTCGGTAACGTGCGCCCCTCGACAGAAAGAGCAGCGTGGTAAGGGCTCTGCTGTTGGTTCCCCACTCCAGTGTGTGCAGCAGCAGGAACCAGCTACACTGGTTGCTGGAGAGGTAAAGTCTGTTAGTGTTAAAACTTAAGGTTAAAAAGAGATCTTTTTTTAAAAAAATGAACTTTAGACTCTTCAGGAAACAGGCAGCTAATAGTTCATCTGAGTGAGAAAAAAAGCATGCATTTCCTGGGACGGGGGCAATAAGAGTGATTTAACCCTTGGCACGTGAGTGTGCTAGTGAGCAATGCTTGCAGCCTGGGGACGGAGGTGCATGAGCATCCAGCCCCACCGACAGCCTGGTGAGGCTGGGCGGTGTGATCCAGCAGGGCAGAGAGGCTCATCCTCAGCAGCAGTGCCCTTGCGCTGATGGGATAACGCAGAGGTTAGCTTGCTGCAGGGCAGGCACGGTAAACAACGGCCTGTGCAGATAGCTCGCAAATGCCTACGGGATCTGTACAGTCTGGGCATTTACAAAACCCTCATTTAGGTGCAGGAGAAACTCCCTCCCGGGATAGGGCTTCCCTCTGTCCCAGGCAGCCGTGCGGGAGCTGCAGCAGCCCTGGCTTTCCTGCTGGTCTGATCTGCTTTCTAGCAACAGGTGCTGAGGCTACCCAAGGCTGCTTTAGCGCATGCTCGCGCAATACTTTCGGCATGAACTTGAACCACGGCAGTGCAATTGCTTAGTTAGAATAATTAGGGAACAACAGCACAGGGCTGTGCGTGAGCCCCGTGTTATCGCAGTGGCACAGTACCGCAATGCCAGCTCAGCTGCCTGCGTGGAGCGTGCCGGGGCTCTCAGCACCCCGGGATGTGCGCAGGAGTGCGGCCACGCGGGGTTTGCACCTGCCACAGCTGAGAAATGCAGGTGTGGGGGCTCGGCCGCGGGCTGAGCGACCCACCGCCCGCTGCGCCCCCTTGGGGAGG